AATCCGCTCGTTTTACTGAATCAATCCTTCCTTGGCTTAGAGAGTGTATGTGGGCCCGGCATGGCCAGGTGGTTAGGGCGCTCGACTCGCAATCTGACGGTCAATCCCACTATTCGTTGGTAAAAGAGTAGCCCAAGAGTCTTACACTGCTAAATTAGGGACGGCTAGCGCAGATAGCCGTCGTGTAGCTTTTCGCGATGTTCAAAACAAGCAGGAGTGTATGTAGCAATGTATGTGGCTCGAGACCGTGCATCGGGGTGGGGAGGCATACTGTTGTGAGCCTCCGTTGTTGTTGTTTTTTTTTTTCTCCATACTATAATCTTAGTTTAATGGTTTCAAAGTTGATGAATTTTGTCGCTAATCTGTTGTTTAGTGCGATGTTGTTCGTCTTTAAAATTCAGGACCGTGTTCTTCAGTTTCTAGCTCTGCGTCCCACCATCAATTTTGTTAGCTAGCCACCACGTCCACCTAGAAACCACTGGTGACGGCCACCAAAGATTGATTGCAAGAACTTGCTCAAGTAGTCCCATGGAACTTGAGCAGAAGAAGAAGAACAACAACAAAAAAAAACAATTCTATCGAATTTGGGAGTTTAAGAGCAGCCTGCACAACGTGCTGGCGCGAGAATAGCAACTGAAGTGCTGTAAATCTATTAGCGACGAAATGGTATATGTGTAATGGTTGGTTGCCTTGGTGACGGGGCTGTATTTCAGCCATTGCTGTTTGGTTAAGGTCAGTAATGGTAGTCTCGTGAATCACGATTTTATCGTAATCAAATAAATATTTGTACAGGTGTAGCAGTGGGAAGCTGGGTTTACAATTATCTGAACAAGTAAATTCTAAATATACTCAATCTGATGGCAAATTAAAAACAATTTCGGTAAGTGTTAGATTTAACTTGTTTTAATATTAAAGCTGTCAGGTGTTAAGATAGACCTAACGTTTCGCTGTTCGTTTATTTCTTGCTTAAATTAAGAGCAAAATGTCACTAGTAAATAGTAAATCTTCTGAAATATCCTAAAGTTATATAAACAGTAACATAGAATAAACTAACACAAGCTCAGGATTCCGTTTTCATTTAAAATGCATATCTACTATATAAAAAGTCAAACATTTACATCATATCCAGGTTTAATTTGTGGCTGTGCTTTCGTAACTTTTGTTTGTTGCTCATTAGCCTTTAAAAATGACAGGTTTCGTAATCCCAATATTGAAATATCTTAGGGAGGGCGTGGCCTTATGGTTAGTGTGCCAGAATTGTGAATCTGAAGGTTCCCAATTCGCGTATCGTTACCGCAAAGAAAAGGTGCTCTGCATTATGGGTACGCTATAAAACTGACAGTCAAATGCCACTATTCGGTCAAACATGAGAAACCGTAGAATTGGCGGTAGGTGATGTTTACTATAACTGCCTTCTCTCAAGTCTATTAGCGGTGGCTGATGTTGACTATACCTGTCATCTCTCAAGTCTATTAGCGGTGGCTGCTGATGTTGACTATACCTGTCATCTCGCAAGTCTATTAGAGGTGGCTGCTGATGTTGACTATACCTGTCATCTCGCAAGTCTATTAGAGGTGG